ATTGTTTTGTCCTAAAACTAAAAACAAAGCATTTAGTCACATCTTAATGATTTTGGACAGTAAACCTGGGTTTTCTTGGCCAATTTTGTGAATCTGTTGTAATGGTCACATAGGTAGCAGTTTGTTTACGAACAGTTTATTTTCTAGAATGTTTTCATAGCCATTGTTGTTTAAACTTGTTCATCAAGAGCGATTTTGTTAAACCGTGGTAATTAGATTTGGACATACAAGATTAAATAGTAATCTTAAAATAATTAATAAACATAGTACGGGGTGTTGTGGTTGTGGGAAATTGGAAACAGTCCAGCATGTTTTTTGGGAGTGTAGTAAATATACACAAGAAAGAGAGAGGTTATGTAGAGAGTTAGGCAGGAATAAAATAAAATTGATTTGTTTCAGAGGTCGTCTGGGGATGTGGTTTTTGGGAGTGTTTTCAGTTTTATAAGAAGAACGGGTATGTTAGAAAGGATTTAATAGATTGTCGAGTCCATACTCCATTCTGGAAGGTGGTGGTAATGCACCTAAAAGTTGTTTGCCAACCGCCATTAAAAAAAAAGAGGAGAAGAAGAAGAACCGTGGTAATTATTTCTCGGCTTGGCCAATGCGCTGTTTCTCTCGCGATATTTCGATACCCAGCAATCCACAATCAGCTGGTCAAAACACAGGCTGGACGCTTGTTTCATCCGCAGAAATGTACAAAACGGAAAAACTAAAAGCTTTGATCAATGATCGACTAAAGGTGGTCACCGAGGACATTTTCGTGCTCATTGAAAAAGCTTTTAAAGATTATGAGGCGGAACAGTTTCGTTCAAAACAAGAGACTGGCCAACGACAGGGAAGGTTGGAGGTGTTGAAAGATAGCAGATTAACTTCAGGTAACTGCTTAATGTGAACTGAGCGTTGACATCTCACGTTATATACTTAAGGGATAGCACTGTAAGATTTGTTAACGTTTTTATTATCAGAAAACATTACACAGAGCTTAATCCGCTGCCACAGAGTCTACTAGCGCCATTTTGCATCCCGTGCCAGTGAAAAGGGATGCGAAATGGTTGGTTTTAAAATACAGCACAGTCGGTTCAGTAGAATATTAACATACTCACGGACACAATAGTACTGCAGTAAAGTTAGCAACATATTCACAGATTCGCGCTTCCCGCGT